AAATAGTATTTACTATAATTAAGACATGATTTTATTTTGGTTTGACAGTGAAAAATTGAAGATCGTACCTATAGATATATAAATATAGCGTAAGAACTTTTCGTTTGGAAACCAAGTCTCCAATATTACTTAATATTAAATAAACAAAATAATCTAGGTATTAGTGATTTAAGACCTTCGCCAACACTCAAATATCTTTAAATGTCATAGACATTAACACATCACATCTAAGTATCGTGATAAGTAACATTGCATTTTTTATATTTATCTAAACACAAGTACCCACCATTTTAACTTCTTTGACATTACTTATTTGATCAACCGTACGCAAATCTGCTTTACTGAAAAGTTTATATTTAATATCAATTGAGAGCTATGTATTCATTAACTTTATTATTGGCTATTCTTTCTTTAATAAAATGAGATCGTGTTGGTAATATGATTCTGATCTAATTTATTCTGTTTTTGTTTATCAGGTAATAAAGAGGTCATTCGAATTGGTAAATCGACTTCAAATTAAAAAACATTTTTGCGTAAACTTTAAAGTATCGCTTGACGAATGTGTCACATCGTAACACAACATGTCAAATATTGTTAGAACCTTGCAATTATTTTAATGGATCCAAATGACTCTTCAGTTTAACTATATAAGGTCGATTATTTAAACAAAGGTTCCATCGAAGTACTGTAACAAGTCGAAAGTGTTTCCTATTACGATGAGCCGTTGTACTGCGTCTAACTTGTTATTTATTGCTGTGACTCCTCTATTATGCCGTTACGCCGTTTTGCCTTTGATTTGTTAGTTACACTATTTTGACTTACATCATTTTATTTGCACATCGCCATAGGTTTTTGAACTTTCGGTATTATAAAAATATAACTTGACATTTTCGGTGCCACTCGTATTGTGTAATGTTGATTCACACTCAAATAGTTTCATTGGTATACTGGAGTGGATTGAGCATCTTACAAAACTATGTAAACATATTTTGGGTATTTGAAGAAAATTTTAATAGTAATATACTTGTTTTTAATTTGGTGACAATTTGATTTCTTTTGAAAGTCAATTCTTGAAATCTTTTGGAAATTCCAATAAATAGAAGACTGTTTAAGTGGGCACACAATCTTCTTATCGACATTGAAAAAACCATCACTAATCTTATGGAGCCATTTATTTTTCTAATAATCATAACTTTAACAGTACTATTGCGAGTTTTTTATGGATGGAATGGAATAACTGACACAAAATAATAATGTTATATTTAATATCAGATATAAATTATATACTTGAATGAAGAATTCATTATTAATAAGTGATTGAAACAGTATAGTAGAAGAGACTTAGATCATCATCGGTTAGTTAATGCCTCCACTGTTGGAGCATAGGTGTTGTGTATAGAATCGAATGGGGTGAATGGGCCATGTATATGTTTTCAGGCATTTCATTTAAGAAGCTAAGAATAACGTGATTAAGTTTTCTAGTGTTATATGTACATTATAAGTTTTAAAATATTTCTTGTTGTGTATGTAGCTTGTATTTTGCGGTCTTTTGTTCCCAAAATAAAGTTCTATTAGAAAATAAAAAAATATTTTGATATGTTATTGCAATATTAAAATATGATAAGGAAATATTTAATCGTTTGTTTGTTTGCATCGAATTAGGCACAAACACTACTGCGCTGATTTTAAGAATTCTTTCATAGCCGGAAAGCTTAAAATGACAATACAAATTTATAAATTTTGAACGTCAGTTTTTGTCGTTATGTTCATTAAGTACATTTGTGCAACTGGATGTTTGGCTATAAACTCGGATAAAGTCGCGGAATAACAACTAGTAATATACTAAGTATGTAAGATTTTAAATTCTTATTTTACTATCTATTTATGTCATAAAACCTCTAAGATTTCATGTTTCCAGATTTTATAGTCAAAAGAGTTTAGTTTATAATTCTGTCGAAACAAAAAAGTTTTCTCAATATTTCTATGTGAGTCATCTTCGGAAATATACAGAAGTAGAAACGAGAACGCATACCGATGCGCTCGCGTCCAGTTATATCATTACCATAATTAACACACTTAGCTTAAGTATTAAGCGATGGCGTTCATTTTATAAGATTTTTTTTTTCAATTACCATTATAATTAAATCAATTTATGCCATATCACTAAGATGGAAACAGGGGAGACAAGGCAGAATGGAAGTTATGGTTTTATATTCGTAAAAGAGGAATTTTAGAATTCTTTTTATAAAAACATATGAATCATCGCACACATATAGTTACGCGTTGAATCAACAAAATTATAATGACATTTTTCATTGTTTGCAAGGTGTAATGAAAATCCTTTTATCGGCTTTGATAATTATTTGAACACCACTAGTCTGTTGATCATCCGAACATGGAAATGAAATTTCTTAGTGTATTCGTATAGTTTTTAGCTTCGTAGTACATAAATTGTTTTTTTTTTTTATATGAAAGACAGAATAAATACTTGAAAAACGTAATAGAATTTTCGCTATAAACATTTGCTCTGAATGTGTCCCATCCCAAGTTGCACAAACGTCCAATAATATTGTTATCAGTTTAAAGCCGACCGGCAGAAATTTTCAAATTTAGAACATTTATTAGACATTAATAAACATTAGGAATTTGTTGTTACATCTTGAGGTTGACATTAAACCTTATTTATTTATGTTTATGCTACTAGGTATCAGTTAATTCTTTACATTTTAACGCATTTTAGTTGTCTAGGAATAAATTTGCCATGGATCGGTTTCCGCTAGCTACTGATAATATTATTGAACTAAAGTAAAACAGTATCAGCACGCTATAATCAACCTGAATGTTACGGTGAAGTATCACATGAGTGCACTGCACCTGTAGGAAGTAAGGGGATTATTGCTATTAGAAAATTGCTATCTTATGAGAGTTGCACATAGCAATTTGAAATCTAGTTGCGGACGTTTCGTTTGTAATTTTTGTAGTTAGCATAAAAGTGTTGTTGTGTGGTTAAAATAAGGTCAAGAAAACGCAATGACTAGAAACAAATATTGTCCAAACAAACTATTGTTTACGAAATTAATAGCAAATAGTAGTTGCCCAGTCTTTGGTCACTTATAATCGTACGTAAACGATTTGTTAAACTAACAATGACAACTTTAATTTTATTATCTCATCTAAAGAAATGCATACTCAAATTGACTTTACAAATACCCCAACCATTTCAAAGTACCCGGAGAAAGTTAAAGGACAAAATCTCTATGACAACCACAAATGAGATTTTTATCGTCACTTCGACAAATAAACGTGACAGTAACGGAACGTAAAAGCCAAAACGCCTCGTTAATGTAGGTCAGTGGTGCGGACAATACGAAACCAGTCGGGGTGACGGTCACGGCCGCATGGGTCGTTCACCTCGGCCTCTGATTCTATATCGAAAAAAAAAAACATTACGTGACGTTCTCCGGCGAACGGATATAACACTATCGATATTTATAGCCTTATTTTTTCCATAAAAAATTTCCAAAGTAATTCTAAGAAACAAATTACGGTAATTCGACAACTTTATAAAATGGCATTATTTATTGTTATTTAACGAGTGGAGGAGTGGGGAGATTTTTATGCCCATTGTTCTCTATGAATCCGTGACAGTGAAAGTAATGACTATTCAAAATACGACAAATAATGACTATTTAATTTGACTAAAGGAATGTTTTTTTTTCCAATTCGGTAAAATAATTTGCATAATTTAACCAATGTAAGTTAAAGGTTTTACCACGCTACATCTATATGACTATCGATAGTTGTCACCACAGTGACGTCACACAATGGCGGGGCGTGTCTCTAGTCACGTGACACACAGCAAAAATCAGGACTTTTAATTTTAAGAGAATAAAATAATCGTGCCATTTTGAAACTCAATATCAGAATCTCTATGTTTATAACTATATTTTATAACTATATCATTTTTAAAGCTTTGAACTTTCACTGTTTGTCGATTTCCAGTTATTATGTGACCAATAATAATTACATGTAACCACGAAAAGCTGTAAGGAATAAAACATAGCCTTTCCTGGAGTCAGGCCAAGATGCTTTTTATAGGCTTTCGTTCACCCAAACCAAAACACCTCTTGAATTTTAATATTGTATGATTAATTGGCGTTCTAACATTGTGCATTTTTAATAAAGTTGGTAAGTAAATAAGAATTGTTTAAAGCTCAATGGATTGGAATGAAATGTACATACATAAAGTATTTCAATACAACGAACATACAATGGGCCTTATCGATTGCTATCGATTTGTTCTAATCAATTATTGATCGATAAAAATAAAAACCAAATGATGCTTTTAGGTTATTAAAAAAGCCAAGCGATCGATAATTAATAAGCTACAGCATTAGATTTTTTTTTAATTTCACTTTTCTTAAGCTTTTTCAAGTCAATTCAAAATTGTTTTATTTTCTTGAATTTATGAATCTTTATTCATATCTTAGTTTAGAAAATATCGACGTGTAAAGTATAAAATTACAGTAACAACGCCACCTATTGACTCCCAATAAAAAATCTCCATATACATTCAATACGGAGATTTTTTATTGATAAAAACAAGTCATAAAACAAAAAAAAAAGTATAAGACCGTAGCGTCTTACCATAATGTATTAAAATATCCTTTAATAATTTCAAACAACTATCTAATTCTTATAACGGCATATTCATGTAAGATTGTCGGCTAACGATACGTTAACGGAATATATCTTCACGTCAATTTACCGGTTTTAGTAGATTCCAAAAATAATATTTTCGACTTTAGATCCATCAATTCAAGTGTAATTTGGGTCAATAGAATAAAAAGTATTAACTATGGGAAATAACTTAAATTTCTATTGTGATCTTTTTCCCATTCCTAAAGCTGCAATTATATTCTAATGCTTAATATATTATCTTGTAATTCTTTAATATTAATTATTCTTTTCTTTTTTTACAGGTAAAAGTCTTTAAAAAGATGACGAGGAGAAAAAGTGCGTGTTCAAAGTGGACTTTAGTTTTATTATTAGTTATAGTGTGTCCGTATGTTTATTCGCGTCCTCAAGAAAATGCTTCTCCAGCAGAACCCAGTGTCAGTGAAAATGTAGTCAAATCGACACAAAATCCTTTAAGGTATAGATATAGGAATGATAGTTTAATTAGGTTAGATGTACCTGTTATTTTAGATAAAAATAGCTTTATGAAATTAGTTTTAAGCAGTCCTTTAAATGTAAATAAATATTTTTATACCAATCCAAATGATAATTCAAGTATTAAGAGAAGAGGTCGTTTGATAAACAAAATAATTACAAATTCTAAAACTAAAGAGCTAACAATAAACACAGACTTGTTAAAAAAACAAAAACCCAAACATTCTGTAGCACATAGTGCGAATAAGCCCACCATCAAAAAAGTTATTACAAAATGGACTGATAATGCCAAATATGAAGGTTTAAATTTAAATTATGAACCAACTACGTCTAATGAACAACATACCATATTAAATAATGTAGATAGTTCAGAATATAATTACAGCCATGAAGACACTGTTGACCATTCAACAGAAGTTTCAAAGAAGTCCGTATTTGCGAAACCAATAAAGCACATAATAAACAAAATAAAGAAAATTCACAAGAAGCCCAAACCAGACTATTCTGAAGAAACACAAGTATATCCTGATAATATATACGTCACTAACGATTATCATCATCCCAGTACAAGACCCATATATATTTTTAATACACCGTCACCAACTCCAATTATATCTAACGTAGGTAACCCTAAGCCTTGGTCAAGACCTAATGTTCAATCTCCTTATCACACACTCACTACACAAAGGCCAGTATTAGTCACAAAACCACCAAAAAATAACTATCATAATTCTGTATATAATAACTACCCACATCACTCAAACCACGATTACGAGGTCACCACTTTCCAACCCACCAACGCTTACACCGATAGAATCATAATAAGACCGGATGAATACAGTGCCTCGCCTGAAGAATGCCCTACGATATTTCTAACATTAAATAACACATTTCAAGGTCAAGGAAAAGAGGCTTGTCCCGATTTGAACATTGCAGTTAACACGAATGTTATAAACAAAAATGTTGTCGTAGAATCCGATGAAGAAGAAGGTGAAGGTGGTATATTTGCCGACCCCTTTGGGATACCGTTTGAAGACGAATCTGGAGACGAGACTGCTAGTACTCATGATATTTTTGATTCTGATGAAAATCAAGAGCAAATTAATAGTGAAAGTGCTTCCGTGGAAGGGCTATCTTATTCTAACTATAATGCTGCCACTGATGGAGATTCTTCTGAACCTGGTGGAGTAGGATCTGCAAGCCAGGTTCTTTCTTCATATCAGAAACCAGAAATTTCAAATGATGAAGACGACAGTTTTAGCATTTCCTCCTTTTATAATTTTTTCAAGCCCGCTATCAATGCTTTAGGATGGTTATCTACCATAAACCCTTTTGGGTTTGGTCTTCTTTCTTTCTTTTTAGCTCCGATCGTATTTTTGTTTGCAGGCACATCAGGTATAGCAGCTTTATTTGCTCCTTGGGCTTTTTCAGCAAGAGAAGCGCCTAAGGTAGTGCATGTTCATAGACCATATTGGCACTGGGATGACGAAATCAAAACATGGCACTTACATTCTTTTCCAAATAATAGGAATTGGGACCCTACATTGCCTAGGAGTATTAAAGAATTAGGTAATACAAATAACGATACAATAAAACCAACGTTGTTTTATAGAATCAAGGAATGGATGAAAGTTACAACACAAAGATTAAAGATCAACAATGACAGAAAAGCAAACCAACATCATCGTAAGAATAGGCGAAAAAAACGAGAAACATGGACTAAACGTATCAAGTAAAAATAATGATATTAAAAGGACACAAGTCTTTAGTTTTTATGATAACATAAATAATGCTCCCTAACAAGGGTTAAGGAGACCTAATTACTACACAAAACGACATATTTTTTTATAATTTTTAATTATAATGAAAAGGACTAACGAACTCGATAGACATTGATGGTAGTTAATTCTTGATTGGTCTGTATCTTATCATCTCCATTAAAAATCTGACAACACTAGCAAAATAGACAGTGAACACGAATTTATGTAACGTGGGTTGGATTTCGTGACGATTAAAAAGGAATTTGTAATAACTTTCCAACAAAAAAAAACACAAAAACCACAAAGCTCGAATTATGTGGATATTCCAATCTAAAGAGCGCTATCAGTTTAGTATTTTATCTCTGAGTTGGTGATGTTATTTCTGAGGCAATTTTATAGGGTCACAAATAAAAAAAACAATTTGAATCTTATAACATAGTTCTTTGGTGTTTCATTGTAAAGTTAAAGTCCATATTATAAATTACACATATGAATTGTACACAAGGCAATTGAATAAATTATGAATGGGCTTACAAAATAGTTTTTGTAAAAATAACGATTTCAGTGTATGAAAATGTTAAAAACCTACAATTTGTTACCTACTTAGTGATATGATAGTCAAATAATAATCGACATAGTGAGTAAAATAAAAAGGTTCTTTAATCCATCCGCTTCATGTATATCAGTTTCACGTTTGTATTTAGCGGGATACCCTCTGCATTATCTTCATTTTTGTCTACCCAAATAAAAACAAATTACGAAATCGGAAATTGGTGCAAGCGTGAAAAATATCCCATGAGCTCTATATCATTACTTACTTATTTATTATCCGTCTTAAAAAATAGCTTATCAAGCGCATGTGAGTGATATTGTTGGAATTGCACAAATTATATATATGTCGGAATATAGGAGTTTCAAAAAGTGTGATAAATCTCGTAAATATATATCTATATGTTTTTTGTTCTCGTAATTCTCGAAAATTAGATATCGGATCGCAATAACTATTTTTGTTTGCTTAATCGGCTTCAGATTAGGAAACAGCATAAGTTTTATAAAATCAATACTGCAGTTGTGAAGATATAAATAGTCTTAAAGCCTCATCTATTTACAAAGATATTAAATAAAAATAAATTTTCATAATAAATAACCAAACTGATTTCATAAAAGTTGAGTAAAATGGATTCATTGTTGGATAATTGCTCACATAGAATGGTGTTCATAGGTACTGAATCAAACACGACTTGGTTGACACGATTATATAGCTTTTGAAGTCAATACTCACTTCAAAAGCTATATAGTCTACTTATTGTTATTTTGTTACGATAAGCAATATAAATATAAATATATTTATGTCATTAACTTAAATTTAAAAGGAGGATCAATAATTTCACCAGTTTGTCTTTACAATATGCCTACGCGCGCTGGTAACTTTTTGTCACTTTGACAGTTTGTGATCTGCATTGTCTTTATGAATCCTGATACACATTTGAACCAATGAATGCATGCCCAAATGCTATGCTCTATTTTTTATCCTCTTGAATGAATGTGATTGTTTCTATATCCGTTCTACATGTTCAAGTGTGTGGTACTGCAAGGTGTCCTAAACACGGTGACAGGAGACAAAAAGTCACGACTGGGCGGATAACTTTAGGCTACGTGCCCACTCATAATTTGTCACGCCAAAAAAAAGTTATCAATGGGCACGTAGCCTAAAATAGTGGTTGTAGCGTATATTCGCACAATGGTGACTTTTTGTCTGTAATGACTGTGGAATACGCTTTTCTGTAATTTCTATAAAAGTCGCTCAATTGTCGTGTAAGCAAATGTACGCGCTAATTCCTTATTTCAATATTTTTTTCTACTGCAAGGATTCTTAAGCACGTGATGGGAAAAAAATACCAGGGCATACAGTCTCTAGGTACATTGGTAGTGATCGTTATGTAGCGATTGCAGAGTTGTTGCACTGACCAAGCTGACAAACTCGATCACTTACCTACTAACGAATATCGCTAATTTCATAGTTACACTCGGTACATGCCTTACAAATAAGATACTATACCTAACTATACAGACTTGCAATTAGGGATGAAACGATAACAGTACAAGTACTTACTCGATAGTTTCCTTTCGATCCAAGTATTTTTGGTATCGATACTTTAAAACTGAGTAACAAATATTATCGTAAAGTAAGAATTTGTATCGGTATTTGGTCGGTTACTCACTGAGGAGTATCGAAAAATCGCTTGCATAAGACTGTTCACTCAGTGGTGAGGTGTCTAATCTCTGTCTCATGAAAAAGTCCCACAGGCACCCTCTACCTGTCATATGACTGCTTGAAAACTTGAACTTCCCGTTTGAACGAAAATACGTCATAATTGTTTAAAATAATCAGATTGATATATTTTTTAACCGGTGAGTCTGCTACGATTTTAAAATATCAGTTAAGATTCATTATTTTTTAAATAATGAAAAACGAAAGTACAAGTTTCCGAAAATCACCTAGTTAGTGATCTGTCTAGAAGAGGCACTGCCAACAAAATTTTGAAGCAATACCTAACTAAATATATAGTTAAAACTATATTCATTGCTTTTTATGTGATGGACCTTTTTTGGACCTGATTCTCTTTCTTTCGTAAACAGAGTGACTGATACGGCATCGAGTAAAAGTATCGATATCTATGGAATCGTTTCATCCCTACTTGCAATAATCGTTAACTTACAATCGCTAGGAGTTAGCGACTGTATTTGGTAAGATTGCCATCGCAAATTCTGTCGAAACTACAGTCCCAGTGCAGTGAGCCCGTAGGCTTAGGGTTGGTGCATATCTGACGAGTTTGTTCGTCTCGTCGGTCGGTCGCGAAATGTCAGGCCTGACAGGTACGACAGTTGACCTTGCACACTCGACGGATTTCTGTCACGTATTAATGTATACTTCCGTGAGACCCTTGACATACCCTCCGTCAGATTTACACCGACCCTTTATAGTAGTCCATCAATATAACATTTTAATAAAAAAATACGACTAATTTATGTAAAGATTAAGGTATATTTCTAAATTAAATCATCAAATTAGTTCGCCTTTCATAATGTGATTATTATTTGTTTGTTTTATGTAAATAATTTTTATGTTATTTAACGTGATATATTCGGTGTAATTTAATTTTATTACATTGGTAACTTTAATATGAACTAGTTATATAAAAAAAAATTAAATAATTGCATTAACCTAGCTAAATAATATGTTTTACTTTATAAATATCTTTTTTAGGATTATTTGTAGTATAATTATTTAAATTCTATAAATGATTTAATAAATATTATGTTTATAATTTTATGTGTGTTTCATTATGTATTGTTATAGTTTATTTAAAATATTAGAAGAAAAGAAATCTAATTAAGAAATTGATAATATTTATATATTTGTCTTAATCTCATCTTTCGGTGCCTGAGGCTGGTGAATTTTTAATGAAATTTGCTTTATTTTAAGCCAGAATGCTTAAAAAATCACCACCTTCAGAGGATATATAGCATTGTGATTGAGAAATTTTATTGTGTACAATATTTATATAGTAATATTTTTATAGTTCTGATTATCGAATTATCATAACTTTTGAAATTTTTTGTACCTACGTTAAAATGTAAACTTCATAAAAGCAGAACTAATTTACTTTCATATTCTTTTCAGGGGCAGCAACCAACAAACCAGTAATGATAAAACGAAACAAGATAGTTCCACAACAGCCGCACCTGCTACTCCTGAATCATCTAGAGATGTCAAAACAAAGGGTCCTGTTATTCGTGACTCTATCAAAATGGTGGCAAATCAGTTACTCGATAAAACAGCCAACAACTCGGGGGATACGCCTATAGTTCCAGATACAAGAATACCACCTAAACTTAAAAATCAATTAGCCCATAAGCACAAAATCAAGGTCCGAAATGAAGACAATGTTGAACCTATAGAAAATGCTCACGTTGGCATAGCCGTCCCCATGACCATGGAAGAACTAGAATCTGAAAATAAAGTGAGCGAGTCTTCCACTTCAAATGAAGGTATCTCCACATGGATATTACTTAGCAATACATCTAATGCTACTGTTGTATCTACAGAACCAACAAAACTTGAGGAGAATCAAAAGAAACACAAGCCAACTTCAACGAAAAATAAAAACAAAAGACCACAAACTAATAAAGTTCCTTCGGCTAAACGACCAATTATCGGCAGCACAAATAAATCTGACTTAATCGCTGGTGGTTCTGCAATCAATGAAAATGTTTTCAATAAAATAAAAGATACTGTTTTAACTAATGTTCATAAAAACAAAAATACTCCTACACCTCAAATGCTGTCTACGACAACCACAACTACTACCGTGGCTCCCACTTCTGAAGAAATCACAACAATCAAAGAAAAAATAACAAAAGCTCCGAGCTCAATCATTCCAGTTATTAAAGTAACTTCAAAGCCAGCTAAGAAGAAAAATAAGAATAAAACAAAAATTACTACTACTTCAGCTCCAGTTGAAGAAATACAAGAATCAGCTTTGCTTCCGATGGAACCAAAAGAGACCGAAATTGAGTTGGAGATAAGCACACCAGCAACTACAACCAAAAAACCTAAGCGAAGCTCTACAAGGAAAAAGAATAAAACTAAGAAACGAAAAACTTCAAAACCTAAACCTGATAGTGACACTGCTGTCAGTGAGATAAAAACGACATCCAATAAAACTAAATCAACAAAACCTAGCAAGAAACCAAGTAACCCAACAGGTCCTTTATCAACTCAAATTTACAATTACTTATCTAGAGAAGTGATGCCATCAGTTGGTGTGGGTGTTATTGGTTTAGCCAGTTTAGTAGGATTAGCTAGTTACTTCCTGTATCCTTTTTCAACACCAGTACGAAGAACAATCGAGGTTGACAAAAAAGATGATTTATACAGAAACAATGCAGAAGAATACGCTAATGAAGGAAACGGTCAAGCAGAAGAAGAAATGCTAGGAACAGTTCTTGCGGGTATGCCTGCCCATTCAAAACAAAAACTTAACCCGTATGCGGGTCAAACTCATATCAATAGATATACAGTCAAAAAGGAGCCAGAAAATATTAGGTATCGTCATGTTGCTACAAATTATGAACCTAATTATAATGTACACTATCCACAGCAAAAAACCGGTATTGCTCACGGTGCTGTATATTCTAAGCCTGTCAATTATGGTCCACAACAATATGAAACCAGAAACGTGTATACAACAGAAAGCAAATATGTCTATGATAAAAGCCATACTTCTTATACTCCTTCCTATTCTGTAGTCGAACCTATATATGCAGCTCCACAAACAGGTCCCTCGGCAATTTCATCTTTTGAAAATGATGCAGCAAATACAGTCGTGTACGGTGTAAAACCATCAGCAGACACTGATTTTAGGCCTGTTTACCCTTTTGAAGGAAAAATATTTAGTGAAACTACTAGCAACCCGGTATCATATCCACCTACATCAATGTACTTAGGCTCAAATAGTGATTCTGAACAATCAGCAGAGGAAAAATATGATGAGGATTCCGAAACAAATACAGGATCTATTGATAATAAGTTTGTTGTTGGCAATGTCCCTAAAGAGTTAGCAGAATCTGCTACTCCAGCAGTTGTTCCCGAACACGGTCCAAGAAATATAAGAAAAAAGAGGAGTGTTAGTCGTAGACGAAATATCAGAGGTAACATAGAGGAGATGTTGAAAGAGGCAAATAAAGACATTTTTATAAGCAATGAAATCGACGACGTTCCTGGTATGCTCATAAGAAACTTGGCGTCACCTACAGAATTTGCTCCAATGATGAATGAAGTAACACCAATTCCTGAAAATAAAGAAGTTTCCACTATTTATGCAACGTCTGTCGACCCAAGCAAAGAAATTCTTGGCACTAACGCACCAGATTCAGTCAATGAGGTTATCATTGAAAATATTTCTACAATGCCTATAGATGTTGGAAAAGAAAAGGTTACAACAGAGACAGATCAAGCAGAAACTACAACAAAATCATTCAGAGTATATGAAGTGTTTACAAATAATCCAACAGAAATTGATGAGAAAGATCTTACTGAGAAATTAGAGACAACGACTCAATTCAAAAACATGATGACAGAAACGACCACTGAATTAAAATCCGAAACTACTTCAACGATTCCTCCTCCACCATCACCAGTTTCAGAGACAAAACTACCTCCTCAATCTCCTCTGCCAGTGATACCCAGACCGAAACCAACTTTGCATCCAGAAGTCATAACATACCCCCCGTTGAACCAAGAAGGAGGTTTCTTTTCTTTCTTGAAGCGACTCGTAGAATTTAAGTATAGATTGGGTCTTAGCATTCTTCAAACGACATCAGACAACTTGAATAGATATCTCCGTAGTATCGAGGATTCTATGCAGAAAGTTGCGAAGGCTTCGCAATGAAAATTTAATTAGGTACCAATGTGAAGGAAGCATTTGATACTCAGATAACCTTATTATAGTTTTAAAACTCGACATAATTATCAAAATAAAATTTGGTCAAGGAGTATTGAAACAACAAATTCACTCAATTTTTTTTTAAATAGTAAATCTATTATTTATATTTTCAGAACGTTATCCTCGATTAATAATACTGAGGGAGGCCTACTGAATGTATAGTACGAGGGTCAAACTGAAAGTTCTTAGAAAATCAAAAACTGATTACATTAGCCAGTTATTAGTTTTATTATATCTTTTCAAAATATTGTCCATTCACGTCAATACACCGCTGCATGCGATGGAACCACTGGGAAAAGCACTTTGCCCACTCGTCCTTAGGGGTCTCTTCAATGGCATCGCGATACGCAGCCACCGCTTCTTCAGCATTCATAAACCGCTTTCCTTCAAGTTTTTCTTTAATTTTTGGAAATAAATAAAAATCACAAGGCGCGAGGTCGGGGCTATACGGCGGGTGACCCAGTAATTCAACGTTTGATGTCGCCAAATAGTCGATCGTTCGCTTGGCGGTGTGCGACGAGGCGTTGTCGTGGTGAAGGAGGATCCTACTGCGAGGTCGTTTCTCTCGAACTTTTTCCAAGACAAGTGGCAAACAATTGGTAGTGTACCATTCTGCAGAAACTGTTTTTTGATCCTCTAACACAATTGTTGCAAAATGACCTATCCTTCCAAAGAACGAGGCCACCATTTTTTTTCCCGCACTTCGATCTCTCTTCACTTTAGTTGGCAACTCCTCGAAAGGAAACACCCACTGAGCAGATTGTCTTTTGGTTTTAGGATCATAACAGTAAATCCAGCTTTCGTCACCTGTTAGTATGTCGAACACAGCATTTGAGTCACCTCCGTTAAATCTTTCAATCATTTTACGACACCAATCCACACGATGGAGTTTTTGAGCCTCAGTCATATTATGAGGTATCCACCGGGCGCAAAGCTTCCTGACCGCTAAATGTTCGTGGAGGATTTTGTGCACTTGACTCATACCGATGCCTAAGCTTGTCCGAATCTGTTGATAGGTCACTCTTTTGTCAGTCTCTATCATACGCCGCACAACACAGATGTTATCTTCAGTCGTCGCCGTAGAAGGCCGTCCCTCACGTAAATCATCAGTGAGATTAGTGCGACCACGTTTAAACTCATTAAACCAGTTGTAAACAGTCGCACGAGATGGGGCTTCATCGTGAAAGGCCAATCGTAGTCTATCATAACTTTCTTGTTGACTTAAATGACATCGAAAGTCATAAAAAATCATTGCACGAAAATTTTCTCGTGTTAAATTCATGATGACGTGACACAGACAATTTTCAATTTGCCGCCAAATCGTAAAACAAATGACAAATGAATGAAATATATACTCAGTAATATTGGCAAAGAGTTATATTTTCAAATTTTAGAATTATTTTTTTATTATATTGTTTATAAGTAGCCAGTTCTAAGAACTTTCAGTTTGACCCTCGTAGTATAAAAAATATGTGAAGGACTTCTTTAATCTGATAGACTATAAAAATATAGCTTGAATATTTTTTTATTATGTTCTAAAATCCATATGCGTATGAATTAGAGTGGTGCTTGTATTTAAAAGTACTTCTTAGGTTACTTATATAAGTAGGTAAAAATACCTTTTGTAAATATGATAAATTAATAAATAAATACATAGAAATAAAAAGTGTTCATTTTCATTTTTTATAACTTTAGAGTCAATTTGGCGAAAGACGTATTTATGAATGTGAGTAAACACTGTAAATTTATAAATGAAGGTTTCATTAATATTATCTTCACTATCCTATTAAAGTCTTCGCTGTTGGAAAATAGGTATGTCACAGGTTCGATTCTTAGGCAAATGAATAAAATGTTGACTAAGCTTGACAACTTGACTTAATAAAGGGTAAACAACAAAAGAACTGTAACAAACAAAAAAGAAAATTTAAAATAGTTAAATAGACCAATTAACCTTTTCTTCGGGCTTGGTGAGTAATTTAACTTTATTATATTTGATTAAGCTTTATATATTATAGATTTGATATAGCATACATTTTTCTTGAGTTCAAACTCGTGAGCATAAACCACTAATAATATATAGATTTTAAAACTTTCTTACAACAAATTGCTATTGATTGAAATTAAGTATGTATAATGTTATTTACTCGAACTGACATTCATATAAAGCATATCGGATTACTCGAAATTTCAAATTACGAAAAGTTAATAACAAAAATAAATGATGTTGAAGCTCAAAGACAAAAAAGTTTGCATACAGAAACCCAGGACGAAATAAACGGAGGTACGACGCACCTTGACAGGAATTGCCTATTTATTTAATCACATAGGGAAAGGCCTATAACCCAACTAAAGGTTGGCTACCCAGTACAGGTTTAATTGGTAGTATTGAGACCAACGACTTAAAGTACATTCCAAATTATTAAGAGCTCCAGATAATACATTTTTAGACTCTCGACCTTTGGATGATTTTTCTTTTACAAAGTTTCCTAATACTGGCAATTACAGATTAGTGTTGATGACTATTGTACTTTAAAGCTTATATTTAGATTTACAGATGCTCGTCTCGCATGAGTGAGATGTATTTTTTTAAATATAGTATAGAATTTTGAATTAAAAATTAATTATCCTATTAATATTATAAATATTATATAATGATTACCACATGGATTGCTTCATGTGGTAATAATTATATTTGTTTAGGATTTTGAGTGTAAAACTGTCATTCACCTGACGCTGTGTCATCGTTGATTTATAGCGACTGAAAAGTAACACGTCCGGAAATTCTTCAAATTACGATCAATCGAGCAATTCCAGGGTCGATAGACTTTACTTAACTTATAATCAGTAGCGTAACTACAGCTTATAATGGACGTGTGGTATACGATCACGCGAGTAGGAGAACACGCGAAAAGAGCCTTCCAATGATGCAATTAAGCATCGAGTAGTTTACAGTGAACGCATATTTTTATCAGATTAGGCTTACGTCGTCGTCGAGGCCAGCGGAGGTGGTTGGCAGCTGCCCCCGCATTGCATTGCACGGTTTCGTCTGTCTGGGAGAGGCACTCGATTTACCTGAGCCTCTCCGATTTTCCATATGCAAGGGGACCAATGGTCCAATACTTGAATGTTCTGGTGACGCGGCCATAGCTTGCCGAGTTTCATCCCCCATGAGAGATACGGGTTTTGATGGGAAGGCCTCTGGGTACCCACTGGGTCGCTATCGGGTTCACGGAGGAGAATCCTCCTCACCCCTGTTGCTTGCCACGTAGCAAAGACAATGTCAAAAGCTTTTCCACGACGTTAAAAAAGTTAGATTCACGTCAGCTGAAGTTAAAAACGTAAAGACAACTCGATTTTTTTTCTCTTATTACTATTCTTTATGTTAATACTGTTTTTGTTTTTTTTTAACATACAAATTTGCTGTAGATACGTACTTCAAAGTTGGTATTTTCAGTCTTCGCCGGAAAGAATGGTTTATTCATTGATCACAACACATATAATATTACGCGAGTTTGAGGATCGGTTCAGAGTAGCTTGGTGGCGTAGCGAATAAACGCCATTGTATTACTTAAGCAACTCGCGATTGTAGTACTTAAGCAACTTTCGCAAAGGTCGTTCACAGGATGGCTGACCAAAAAAAAATATCTCAAGCAACTCTAAGCTTTGGAAGGCACGTAAAGTGATTGGTCCCGGTTGTATTTGCTGTCACTAATATCCTCCAATTCGCATTGGGCCAGCATGGAGGGTCGTGGCTTATCCTCCTTAATCCATAAGGCTCAGGCAGTTCAAATCAATCAAAATCAAAACGGTGACGGTAGTCGGTGACGTAAAAAGGGCTGATGATGATTATGAGGGCCGTTCAAATCTGACGGAAGCTCAGTTAAGCACCTCTCGGAAGTATGTGTTAGTAGACGATTTCCTTCGAGTGTGGAAAGTCGAAATTAAAATATGTATATATTTTTATACAGATATCAATAAATAAAACTCCACGTATCTTCCTTCAGACATGTACCGACCGACTTTTATTGACAAAGAAAAAGATCGGACGGAAAGCACTCGGTCTCGGGAGACACCTGAAAAACGCGAAGCGTATTGAACTACCCATCGCCAGGCTCATGCACTATAAAGTTGAATCTGAAGCATTTACCGTCAGGGACAATCCCTTGAGCTCTCGGAGAACTCATACAACAAGCGTTTGATCTCAGGAAACTTCTGAAGATCGCATAGCGCGTCTAACTGCTGATCGTAAGATACATGCAGTATGGTATGAGTGTGAAACTTCCTTTGATACAGCAATCGCAGCTTGGGCTCTGACAGAGCAATAGAGATCGAGAAAGTAGTTTCGATTATCGCCAACCCGTGTTGCCTTCATACTCCACAGGCGTACCGCAGATAATTTTTCACGGGGTTTAATGCAATAGCAGTTTTCCCGCGACTTTGCCGCAAAATTATAGCCTATGACATCCGCGATGTAACTTCCGCTAGCGTAGGTCGAAATCGCACTGAAACTATCGGTCCAATAGTTTTGGGGCAAATTCGATGCAAACAAACAAACAACCAAATCTTTCCTCCTTATAATATTAGTATATCTTAGGTATGAGAGGTCCGATGGCGTAGTGGGTTAGCACATTCGGATTAAATTGCAGTGAAATAAATAAGTAAAATACTGCACAACGAGGACATACATGAATACTTATTTTACATGACTAAATACAAACGACAAACTCATCGCTAGCAAGCGATTTCTTCCAGGCAACCTAGCATTACATGGAATAAAAGAACAATAAATAGCCGATTGTGCATACAACTAGACAAATAATAATAATTTAAAAAGATCAAAAACAAAAGAAGGACCAGTTTCAAGGTACGAATAAAATGCTCAGACCCAGGCGACAACCAGAGCGCGAGAAACAAGAAAAAAGATAGAAAAATTACATTCGTAAATA